TTTTAAAGAGCTAGACATTCCTCACAAGTAACAATTTCTTTACTTCCATGCTGTACTGAAAGAGTAATAGTGGATCAAAGACAGGATTATCTGTAAGCAGGTTACGCCTAAAGAGTTACTGGAGAACAGATCAAGATGTTTTTGATCTACTGGATTACAAACCCTTGTCGGACAGACGAGCGCGGTGCAGGAGTTGAGTCGGGGACTACACGAGAATGCCTCCGCCTCCCTCGCCTGTAAACACGACACGCTCTTACTGCTGCTAAACTTTCCAACCTTCCTGTTGCTTTATTAAATATAAAATCGGGAACGTTCTCTTGAAGGCAGGATGTCCTTCAGTGCAATCTGCTTTGACATAAGGCATTTTTTTTTTTTCGGGGTGGGGGGGGCCCAGTCATTTCAGAATGGGTTTCTGCCTTCTGGAAGAGTCAAAGAGTTCAGTCCTGTATCCACCTTTTTTTCTGTTAATGCCCTACCATGTCAAAATCCTCTTCCCTTCTGGTCGCTCCTCTGTTGCCAGCATTTAGAAAACCATCAGTGTCCCAGTAAACCAGTCCCTGAGGAGAAAAGACAACCACCGATAGATGACGACGCTTACGGGGTGAAGTTAGCGTGGGCTTAAATAAAGGGGGGAAGAAAAAAAAAACCAACCCAGACTCACCTTTAAATCCTTCTTCAGGCATACAGACTGGGGATGGAAAGGAAAAGGCATGGCGTTAGAAGTCTCCCGACAGTCATTTCTAAAAGGATCTTTTGTCTGAGCGGTGGCGTACCGCTCCGTCTCCCGTTGACGGTGACAGGAAAGCACCAACGTCTCTTATTTTCTACCTTTGCAACCCAAATCCACCACGGTCCTTGGCCACCAATACTTCTCCCAAAATCACAAGGGCGAGGGCGCCTTCCCCAAACCCCAAACTTTCCAGGGGTCCCCCCCCCGCCTCACCTTGCATAACGTCGTCCATCGCCGCATAATCTGCAATTGGTTCATCAGCCTGGAAAAGAAAGCGGAGCAGGGGATTAACGAGCGAGGAACCTTGTTTGGAAGCACACGGTCCTGCTCTGGAGGGGAGCGGGGAACAGGTCTCTTGCCCAAACACTGTCTGGGAACAAGAGGGGAGGACTTGCTTCCTCATTTAGCCGTATTTTGGGCTGGTACGCACACAGCTCAGCAGCAAAGGCCAGCTAATAAATGCTCTTTAAAAAAAATTAGGGGGGAAGAAAAAAAAAAAAAAAAAAAAAAGAGGGTTCTCCCCCTCCAAGAAGCTGCTCCAGGAGGAACCTGTGAAACGAGGCTACCGAGCAGCCACGGCCTAGTGCACGGCAGTTTTCACACCCAGCACATATTTCTCTTTGGTTGTACAAAAATCGGTTCAGTTCTCTGCTTTATTCGACTTTATTTTAGCAGCCGCGCTCTCGCGTTACCTTTAATAAAATGACGGACTCGGGGATGACTCCCAGGCTGCCGAGGGTTGCGGTGTCATCGCTCAGTATCTTCCCGTCGATCGACAAATTCTGGTCGAAGGGAGCAACTGAAAATGCATGCATGATCTGTGCCAACACAATGAGACACGCTGATTTTGTGCGGAGGGAAAAAAAAAAAAACCATACCGCCGAGCTACGCAAAAATACCACGTTTAGAAGAGCAAACGCGCACCTTTCAATGCCACGTGGGATTTTACGCTCTTTCCCCCCATCCCCTCCCAACCGCGCGCTCCTGATTTTGTGTTTTCTTCCTTGAGACGACTCATTCCTTGGAAGGAAAACCACCTTACCTGTATTTTCAGCTCTTTCAGCGTCTGATTAGCGGAAACAAGCAGCGCTTTCTCCCCTCTGACTTTCCGGTGCCGGGTGCTTCGCCTGATGCCCTGCTTTTGGTAAGCGATGTAGCTCTGGTGCGAGATCTTCTGGCGTTTCGCACCACCGTTGGTCTAGAAACGAGAGGCAGAAATCAGGAGCTCAAATTTGGGATTGGTGGAAAATATAACCTCCCCGTACCCCCGGCCTACGTTTCGGGCGAGTCAGTCACACGAGGGAAGGCACGAAGCGTTGAGAAGCCCCTTCGAAAGCGAACCGCTGCATGCAAGCATCAAGAGGACCGAAGGACTTGCCTTGAAACCTCGGTTCCTGCTTCTAATGCTAGCACGGGGCGGATTACCAGCCACGCGCACGAGTCACCATCAATATTTGACCTCTATGGATTCAATTTTAATGGTTACGACCATTAAAATGACAATTTAAGACACCGCTGGTTTCGCCTGCTAGGGGCAAACGGGAGGAGGGCTATCCCAGCATGCTGACTCAAGAGGACGATGCAAAACCCATGGAACCTGGTGGTATTTTTGATCTCTACCTGGTTAAAATCTGGGTCTTGCTCCCCCTCTGGCTTGTTTTCCTCCCTTTCCTCTTCAGCTTCTGAGCTGCTCACGTTCAGCTCTGGAGCAGCGTCCTTCATTACCTGAAGTCATAAAAATCATTCTCCGTAACTAACCCGACAGCATCAACCCAGACTGTCACGTCACGGCAAAACAGCTTGCAGAGACATCCGGGATGCCACCTCGATCCAAGGCGGAGCAGGAATAACCCAGGGATCTGCTCCACGTGCTCTGCAAAGTCTTCTCCACCCCTCCCCAGCTGCAACGAGCCACGGGGGGATTCGACTCAGGAGACCAAGCTTCTCCGTTGAATTGCAGGTGCTTCCTGCGGCTCAGGACCTACCCTCCTCTCTAGGCAAAGGGAACGTCTCCAGGGGCCTGGACTGATTTCTTTCCCATTAGCTGGCTGCTTCTCTGGTTCATCTAAGTGTATTATGAAAGCCCGAACACAGAGGAAGGAATATTATCTGTACTTATCCATCCCTGCAGCAGACCGACAGAGGCACTCAGCACCATTATTTATGGGTCTGGAGGTTGTAAGTAAATGAAATCTAAATAATTTACACAAACATATAAATAAAAAGGCTGTTCAGTTCTGCAGAAGTCACTCCAGGAGGCATGGATCTGCCGGACGTGAATTTACGTCTATGCTTCGGCTGGAGATGGGGTTTGCAGGAGCCCAGGAGACTGGCCCCAGAGCTCGCTTCTCCATCAATATATTTGCAATTAACGGTGCAATCCCAGCTCCCAAACATCCAGCACCAACCGCAGCCTCCCTAGAGCCCTCCGGATTCCAGCACTGCTGCCCTACGCTGATTTTATACAGCCGTGGCTTCCCCTCTTGCAGCATCAGCCGAAGGAGGCACCCGGGGGTGGCAGAGGGGGGAAGAGCAGGGGCGAGGGGATGGGGAACGCTCCCCGACTTTGTAAATCAAAGCCGGCAGAGAAGGAAGCAGCGGCTTCCTCGCTGGCAGTGCTGCTGCGCTGCTGGCGGGCATTATTGCTGCTTCGCATCTCGCCGAGGCCGCCCTGTTAATAAGGGATCTCGCAGGCAAGCTCTCGCCCCCTCTCTCCAACTCCAGCTGCTCGGCAAAGAATAGCTGCCTGTTTTTTGCCAGCCCCACGTGTGAGCACGGTCTAGTCCAGCACCAGAAAAAGAAAAAAAAAAAAAACAAAAACAAAAAAAACCCCCAACACTCCTCGGCACCAGAGCCAAGATACAGCCTCGAGTCAGGCTGAAAACCTGTAGCTGATGGCTCAAGACTGTGCTGTGTGCTCTACGTCTCGCACCCAAGGCAGAAACCCGTCCAGCCTCTGGCGCCCCGCAGCTCTCCGGGCTCCAGTTCCTCCCTTAACGTTGGCAGGGAGGTGGAAATCAATGAGAAGCAAAAAAAAAGCCCCCAAAAACAACACACCAAAAACCCAACCCAAAACCCCCATGCTGCTAAGGTGCAGGGAACATCTTTATCTGAGCTTGCCCACGAGCCTTGGTTTCCCCCTTAAAGCATAAAACAAGCCCTAAGGAGGAGGAGGACTGACTTCAACCAGCTTTCGGGTACCTGAGGCCAATTCTAGACCCGATACCGATCCCTTATGACACCAGTAAAGCAGAGACGTAATTCACAGCTGCGTAGGGGATCCTGAGAACCATCTCAAAGTTCACTGCTATTTCATCAGCATGGAGGCTGAAGAGCTTATTTCTATCCAGGAATGAATGTCACTTGAGCAACCAAGAAAGGAAATGACAAGTCTTGGAGGGGGAGGAGAACAGGTAGAGCCTGATAACACGATTATGAAGACAGAAACGCTCACAACGTTGCCTAAAATAATCAAATCTGGGAACATCCGTGAAGGTACCTGATAACGCAAAGGATTCATTTTGGCAAAAGGAAGCCTCAAAGAGACCAAATTTTCAGAGCAGCTACAGCCAGAATTTTCCCATTTGCTATTTTTGCCAAAGCGACAGCTTC